TTTTCGTGGGTTTCGTGGGTACAATTGAACCACAATTCAAATGTTCAACAAATTACAAATTTTTCATAGGCTTTGTATGCAGAGAGTGGTAAAACCACGAAATCATATAGCCACCAAAATGTAAGTTTTCCCCAATCCACGAAAATAAATGAATCCACAGTATATGAAACATATTTGACCTAGATTGATAAAATATAAGAATCCTTACCGTTAGATTTCTTATTTAATTTTCTCTCGTTCCTAAAGTCTGCTGAATTTTTATTGTAAGTTAGAGAATTTACTTTGCAAAAAGTCCTACTGCCTCATAGTTAGAAATTTCTGGAAATTATGATAAATTCTGCACAAAGGAAAGTATAAGTAAGATTGTTTAAATAAGTGCATGGGAATTGAAAAATCTATTTTGAAATAAGGAGGCTCTGTATCAGTTTATAAAATCTTAAGAGATGCAAGTGAAAACGAGGATCTGCAAAGGGAGTACCAAGAAGTCTAATTACAGAAGCACAAATATTAATGTGACAGTTATTATATAATGTAAAATAATTATGTAGAGTCCTGTACCACATGACAAAGCTGGGGGGAAATTGTATTCATAGATTATCTATGGTTTTTCAAATAAGAAGGTGTTTCTTGACTACAATCTCATCGAAAAGGCGAAAGATCTTTGATAATCTGTTTATTGCAGTTTTCCTAGGCAATGTCAATGACGTAGGCTAGTGACATCTTAAATTCTCTTTCTACTCAACTGATAAAAGCCCATATTACCAGTCAGGGGCATTAATACTTAAACAAGTAACTTTTAAAATTACCTATACAAGTAATGTTGAAAACGAGGCTATTTTAAATATTACTTATATAAGTAACTTTTCTAAATACTATTTTTATAGGTGTCCACTTATACAGATTTACTAGCTTTAACACATTTTCACAGTCATCCGGGTTTTTTTCCCATGAAATATAAAATGTAATCCTTCTGAAACACTAATTGCCTTTCTGACGCACTTATCTTTCATATCGACCCTTCTGGGTCAAAGATTGGTCTCTTGGGACTATTAAAATACCATTTTCCTTGAAAATCTTGAAGGTAGACAGATATAAATAGATAGAAACTTTTGAATTAATTAAGACTTGAAGTTATCTATAATTTGTAAGTAACTAAAAAAAATTACTTGTTTAAGTAACGCCCCTGACTGACTACTAGCTGCGTGAAATTGAAAATGATCATACAGAAAGTACTAAAGAAAATTTTCGAAATTAGTAATTAACAATTTTATCAGCCACAAAAACTTGTAAAACAAACAGAGATTGTTTCTTTTTTTGTTATGCATGTTACAAACATCCTGGCAAAACAAAATTAATCTATGTTGTTAAATATGTGTCTTTTTGAAGAATTCCTTGGAATGGACGTGTGTAGGGTCAAAAGATTATAAGGGTTGTTACTATATTGACCGTTTATCCTTCATTTTATGCTTACTTATATTGTTAATCAGTTCAGTAAAAATTAATTAACTTTTTTGAAAAATATTTACAGTAAAAAGACGAAGAACAGTAGACTTATAATATAAGGATAAGGGTAATAAATGTTGTCTTCATTTTTATTAGGTAACCTGGATCATCTGTTATGGTAGAAGTTGTCCATCTGTAAACTTTAAAAAGATCTTTTGTTGAAGACCATATATTTACCTGTAGATGTCTTTTAGTTGTTAGTGTTGTTTTTATGCTGTCTTGTTGACATAAATCCTTTGATTATACGCCTGTTTATGGGACGTATAATGGTATACCATTGTCTGTCCGTCTGTCATCAACATGTCGTACAATAACTCAAAAATGCTTTAACCAATTTTCATGAACCTTTGGTGGATTGTTTATATCTATTAACGTGAGCTCCCTTTCGATTTTAAATTTTAGATTTTACGTTCCGAGTTATGGGATTTTATTCATAAAAAGGGGGGATTTTCCAGTTTTTGGACAATAACTCAAAAATGCTTTGAGCAGTTTTTATGAAACTTTGGTGCCTGGTTTATATCTATTAAAATAACCTCCCTTTAGTTTTTTTTTTTAATTTCTGATATGACATTGAAGAGTTATGGAACTTTATTCATATTGTTGCTATACTCCTGTAATGTTTTAGTTACTGGGTTTATATTTGTCATTGTCTTGATAGTGGTTTATTTGTAGAGCATTTTTCACTGGCTATAATCAATTTACAAACTTTTATAACCGTGTCTGTAGGAACATTTCTGCTAAGTTCGACATAATTTGCTTCATGGTATTGGGAAAATGCTTAGAGATTATGGATTCCAAATGATCTTAAGAATTATGTCATTTATTCATGTCCAATCTCCTGATTGCTATATCACATGACAGTAATTTTCAGAATTGTTACTGTGACTTGATTATATTTTTCATTTAATATTTCATGAAATATTGTTATGGTATACAAGACACAAAATAAATTTGGGATAGAATTAAGTCACCAGATTTGTGCTCTTAGTCATGCTGTATTCAGTTTTGTGCTCTTAGTCATGCTGTAGTCAGTTTTGTGCTCTTAGTCATGCTGTATTCAGTTTTGTGTTCTTATTCATGCTGAACAGGGATGAATACAAGTAGTTTACAATAAGGAAACTAGTGAGATTGTTTTAATAAGTGGGAAATGAAAAACTTTACTTCCTCATCTATTTTGAAATAAGTACTTTCTGTATCAGTTTATGAAATCTTAAGAGACACAAGTGTAAATGAGGACCTGCAAAGGGAGTACATAGTTATGATTTCTATAAGCACAAATATTTATGAGGGTAGGAATGCCCTTTACCATCAGGTGTCAAATGGTCATTTTCGGCATACCGTTCACGTCAAAGTGGTAAAAATTTTACCGTGATTCGTCAAAATATCCTTATCATGATTCGTCAGATGTCTCAAATAATTATCCGTACCGTTATTTTTGGAGAAAAAAATAAGTGATTCGTCAAATCACTCGATTTTTTTATCGTCCTACACCAAAAATTACCATTAACGTCATTTTGCAAGATTTTTTACTGTTATTCGTCATGAAGGTACCCCCCTTATAACCCTCATTTATGGCAGATTTATATTATTTAAAACAGTAAAGCATCAAGTGAGTACCACTTAACAAAGTTTAAGGGATATGGTAAAAAATTTCTTTTCTGTTACCAGATATAAGTAAAACAAACAGAATTGTTTACTATTAAAAAAAACATAACCCCCAAACAAAATACTAATAGCTGGTTAAAGGTATGAGTCTGTATAGGTTATAAAGATTATGAGGGTTGCTAACATTATGACCTATAACCCTTAAATTTATGCTTACTTTTAAAGTAACTATGTTTAAGGAACATTTTGAAAAGTAATTATACTCCCACTCCAGGAGTGGAGGCTATATTGTAATCACCTTATTCATCCATTTATTCAACAAATATTATTGTCACACTTTTCTCTGGTACTTATGAACAGAATGACTCCATATTTTGTCAGCAGTTGGACAGTGATGAGTTGTATTATGTGAGCACTTTTCGAAAATCTGTCAAACACCTATTTCTTGTTTACTGATCCTTTGAAATTTACAATATCATATGTTCAATAATCTTGATATTTTTGTCACACATTCCTCCAATTTTAAGGAACAAAATGAATTTATATTTGAGCAGCAGCTTGACAGTGTTGATTTGTAAGATTTGAGCACTTTTCAGATCTTTCATCCTCTTAGTTCCTGTTATCTGATTCTTTGAATAAAAAGGGAGAAGTCTGCCTAGCATGACAAAGTGTGCATCTTCTTGTTCATAAAGATCACAACTAGGAATTTCAGAGACTAACATAGAGATAGTGAATTCAATGGATTGGCAGAATGCATTTGATGCAAGTTCTCCACATCTCAGCGGAATCTTCCTTAATAATTTCATATTTCTCCCTGTTTGGGAATTGTCATCCACACATATTTATTATGATTTACTTTATTGTTAAAACATTGTATGACATTGACCATTTTTAGTTAACTTCCAGTAGTTTACAGCAAATTTAACAGACAAATAGTTCCCATACTTTATGAGGGCTTTATAGGGGAAAAACACTCATCAAATTAGCTCATTGTGTAAATGAGAACTCTCACAATAAAGGGTCATAGACAATCAGTACTTCACATTAACTAATCTTGGGTTATTAGACCTTATTACATTGGAAAAAGTTTGCGTTGTTTATCACTGATCATAATTTGTCATTTTCAGTTGCAAATGATTGTTTAGAAATATTGTTTTGTTTTTTGTGCACCTGTTTTTATGGAATTGTTTTCCAGACTCGGGAACTTAGTAATTTTCCAGACTTGGGAACTTAGTAATTTTTCAAAAATTTAAATGTTCAGTGTAGAGCATGTTCCATTGTTTAAGAAACATTCTGTGCAACCATGCCATTTGAGTCAGATCTATTTTTTTCTTTTTTTGCAGAAACTATTGCAGATATAGAGAGAATCTTTAAAAAGTAAAAATGATCAGCAAAATAAAATCTATGAAAAAGTCCCCACATGGCTGAAATTGTCAGTCAACTCCTTATAGGAGACATTGCCCTTGAATGACAATTTTACCCATTTTTTTGTGTGTTTTTGGCTATAATCTTAAAAACTATAATAGAAAGAGACATATTTTGACCAGCAAATATGAACAGCCGGACAAGATCTAAAATTTAGTCAACATGGCCCAAATCATTAGTGGACCCGATAGGAGTGATTGCCATTGAATGACTTTTTTAGGGGGAATGATTGCATTTGTCAATCAAATCAAAACCCTCTTGCCATTGGCTATATAAATATATCTTCCAGGCCTTATCTCTACCTATTTGAGAGTCAAAACAAAATAGTGCAGTGAGGTGAACATACATTGGATCCTATCCACTCCTTTTACAAGGTTTTGTCAGTTTATTTTCGACTCATCTTTTTAACCCTTTATACATTGCTACTAAAAGGATTTGAGAATAATTGAAATAAATTGTTATTACAGTTCTATAAGTGTATGGGTGAAGAATTGTGAGGATTTAGCCATACCAGATGAAGAGAAAGAACAACTTGATGCTTTTATTGATCAACTTTATGAAGATATGGATAAAGGTATTGTGAAGTTACAAAATCAAAAACTTTTATAATTAAAGGAAAATACATTTTTTAATCAAAGTTATTTTATTGTGTAGTCATTGATAGCTGTTAGTAAGTAGGTCAAACCTTCTGTCATTAAATCCAAAAAAATTTTTTATAAATGATTAGATAATTTATGGTCATTTATGGCTGTCAGTGTATCAAATACAGATCTAAATGATATGAGTTAATATCTCTGTCAAAATTTTTTTTTTAAATTCTTTAACTCAGACCTTGAGAAAATTTTATGCGAGTTCATGGTTCTATTTTAAAAATATTGTGGCATTGTATTGTTTTCTATATTGTTAAAGAAGCTTTCAAATTGAGTTTCAATTTGTTTTAACAATTCTTTTGCTTAAAAAATGGTGAGCCAGAAGTATGAGAATTGATTCAGAATATAATAGAGTCTATTTCATTGTTATTGTACTTAATCATGGCAGAATCGTGTGATTTGATTATTGATATTTAGTGACTATTTGAATTTATAATTATTTAAGTTCATATTGTGTTATCTACATTCCAACACTTTTGGACATCACAGTGGAATCATTTATTTTTATTGGTACCAATTTATTTGGATTTAGAAAAAAAAATTGTATATTCGTGTATATAAGATTTTGTAGATTTGTCAAAGTCTGCATACAAACCTGTAGAAAATTTGTTGAATATTTAAATTCATGGTTTACTATATTGATTAATACTTTACAAATCCTTGACTTCAGTAATAAATGTTTTGTAATATTGATAGAATTGTTATTTCAGTATCTGGGACATTCTTAGACTGTGAAGGTTCTGGCTTATATCTACTTCAAAGTACATGTAAGTAAATATATGACAATTTGTTTAGATTATACTAATGTTGATACAAAGAATTATACAAAGGCACATTTTAATAAAAATTCTACTGAAGATATTTCTCATCTGAATTGAATAAAATTTCTTTTATTGAATACATAAATGTCTGCAGTCTCTTGCAATAATTATGAAATATATTTATGATTTATATTTCTAGTAAATGTGAATTTATGCACCGAACTAGATATGGATGATGCCCCGCATTTTGTCGCAGGGAAATAAAAATCATATGGCTACAGTAGGAAAAATTGACACTTGATTTCAATTTGTGTATACAAATAATGATTTCTCAGCAATGACAGGTCATACAAATATTTCATGATAACCATAAAAAAAACTGCACGCATTTATGAGTTTTACAGAAAAAAAATCATCAAAATCAGACCTCCAATTAGACAATGTTGTTTAAAAAATGTGTTTTTATATGAAATAATAGGGTAATTTCTGATAGGTGACACACTTTTGACCTGAGACTGTAATTTATATGTCTATAAAATTAAAAACGTCATAAAATTATGTCAATCCAGATTTAAATTTATGATAAAGATATAAGTTTTGTGAGGATTGATTAACTTATTTATATATAATATTCAATACACTAAAAATTTCCTAAAATGTATAAATCATACACAGAAATCATTTTAATTTCATTGAAACAATTGCATTCTAAAGGTGTGATATTTTTATGATCTATACATTGTCTTTCTTTCAGGTAACCACAGTTGCATACCAAATGCAGAAATTACTTTTCCAAACAACAACCATAAGTTGGTACTGGTGGCTAAAGAAAATATCAGTCAAGGGGAGGTAAGTCTTTAGAACTACATTCCCTCTTTGTAATGTTGCTCATTGTAGTAAAAAATGTATCAAAATGGTAGTGGTGGAAAAAAGAAAACTGAGCGTATTATATAATGGTCTTTTTACTTCTGGTTGAAAAATAAGAATAAAAGGGTGTTTGCAGTTAATCCCTTAAACTGTTAAGTGATAAATATTTTTCTCAAATGCCTACCAGATTTATACTTTTTCTGAAACGGTTGATTATTTTTTTCATAACCAACCTGTGGGCAGTTTGATCACAGTTCTTCATTTGTTATATTTCAATTGTGCCGTCATATTTTTTTTTTTTCCCTTTGAATTTCCTGTTGTGATGTCAAGAAAATAGGCGACCTCACATAGAAAGATCATTGGAAAAGAAAGATAAAGTTTGTCTACATATCATCTAAAATTATAAGAGATACAGATTCCACCAGCAAATCTTATGCAATACCATATCTATCAACTTTCTACAGTAAAATTTTGAATATTTAAAAACCCTCAGCAAGCCTTGCATTTTTAATTTGAAAATTTTTCTATCTCAAGTGGAGAGATTTTGTACCACACTAGATCCAGTGGCAGAATCTATATTTATATATTAGAGTTGTAATAACATATGCTTTTTTCAAAGTGAATCATGAATTTTCATAAGTAAAGATACTTGCATTTCAAATAATATTAAAAGACACTGAAGGGTAGGGCAAGTATTAGCTCTAAAATTTAATGATTTTTCAAAATGATAGTATTTTTACATGAATTTTGTGATTCATATGGGAAGTGGTTATACTTTATCAATGGGGGGGGGGGGGGGGGGGGAGGGGGGGTCGTAGGGATCCTGCTCCTGGGCTTAAAAACATGAAATCCCAAGGTCCTGAGTTTGAAGAAATTTAAATCCTGACATCCCGAAATTCGAAAAAAGAATTCCCGGATCCCGAAAGGATCAATCCCAAAATCCCGAGCTTAAAAACAACCGATCCAGGAGTCCCGATAAAGGTCTGACCCCCCTCATCAATACAAAACATAATCTCGTTTCATGTCAAAATGCATTGAAAAAAGTTACCTATAAAAAGGAATATTTAAAAAAAAAAGGGCATAAAACATTTACAAAGCATTAATTGTGTTAAAAATAATTATGAATGGACATTTATCCATCAAAAATATTTTGTGAACATATAAGTAATGCTCTGCTGAAACTTGGAAAAAAGTTTTCCAGGATCTATTTGTATTCAAACTGATGAAGGCAATATTCACCAAATTGTTTGCATTATTACTTAACCCTATATTGAAAAAATAATGGCCACTTAAAGTGATTTGTCAGAAATCTTGCATAATTTCCTAAAAAATATACCCCATGAGAATTTAAAGAGAAATGTCCTGAATACTCCAAAAAAATTAACATGTGTGCAAATGCTAACTGCTGCAACTCAATAATACTTGTGCCCAAAAATATAAAAGGGTGGCTCCTAACCAAAACAATACCAACCATGAGTTCTTGTTGTTACTTTTCTTTGTTGCTATGAATGTCTATTTTCTTGTGGGAATCAGGTGTTGGGAAATTGTTTTAAAATACTTAAACAAATTTGGATTGTATCTGGGTGAATAAACATTGTTTTTGACTTTTCATTTCAAAACCTAGCTTTGAGTAAGTATACTTGATTCTTTATTCCATGAGTACTTCTGTATCACTGTAACAGTCCTCATGCTGTAAACAAAAGACAAAGAAATTTGTGAAATTACTTTGCTTTTTATTTAAATTTCATTATTAAAATTTTTATAGGAAATTTGCACCTGCTACTTGAGTGAATGTGATGTTACCAGAAGTAGACATAGTAGACAGAAATTTTTAAAGTAAGTTTTAATTTTGTAAAATATATTCCAGCCATATTTTTAAGCTTGATTGATAGTTGCTGTCTTTTAGCCTTATTTAGGCTAAGAACATGATAAAGTGATAGGCATCTGATCCTTGAGTAGATTCAATAGAATTAGAATTACAGATGAGCCTTGGTTTTAAACTTTTTAACTGAGAAGATAATACTGTAAATTCAGAAATTATTGCGACAAATGAGACAGAGTTGTTAACGCAATAATTTAAACTCGCATTTTGCAATATTTTATATGAAATAAACAGGATTTTTCTCAAAATCGTAAAAATTAAAATCGCATTTAAGTCTAAAATGACAAAATCGCAATAATAAATGCACGCAATAATTTCTGAATTTACAGTAGCAGATTGGAATCTGAATAAGGTGCATTCAGATCAAAAATTTGTCAAAAATCATGAAGCCACATTGGGGAATTTTACTGAAAATTAAAGGTGACGCAAACTTCTCCTTGATGCTTCTTTAGGGCAAAGTTGGGAATTCTAGGGTGATAATCTCGCTCTCTTTGCCTGGTGTTGTGAGCCATGAACAGTCAGCAGGGAGACATATCTTACAGTCAAACAATTGACTGTACTACATCTGTCTACCTTTTTAAAAAAAAATTGAATGGCATTAAAAACATATTTGCAACTTATTTTAAGTTCAGAAGTATTGCAGATAACTTTAAAAAAGTGTACCTTAAAAGTTTTTGAAACATTTTGCACTTGTGCGCTGATGTAATCTAAGATTGAGATGACTTCATTTCTTTCTCAAAGTATCTTGTTTTATGAGGGAAAAATTGTAATTAAAAATCATAGCAGATATTCAAATGTTACCACTGCAAATAAATATTTACAATTGTGGAAAATAAGTTACATTGCAATTTTGTACTTTGTTTGTTGATAGTACATTAATAGTCCTGATGATTACTTTCCAAAGAATGAGGGACCCACAGAACAAGTATTTTTGAAATTTATCCAATTTAAATAGCTGTCTTATCTTTGTCTGTATAATGGAATTTTAAGTGGGAACCTTTCTTTTATATTGTACACATTTCTTGATATCATTTAAAAGTACTAATACTTTATTGAATTATATCTTCTTTAGAGAGAATTACCTTTTTACCTGTGGATGTGTGAAGTGTCTGTCAGAAGCAGATCAAGCAGACCTCACATCAGAGGAAGATGAAGAGGAGGAAGATGATATGGAATAATAAAAATAACATTTTACTCATGTTTTTGTTGTTGATCCTTCAAATTATGTGAACTTGAAGGTATAGATAACTTGGCCTGATATAATGTGCTCACTTTTGTTTTATTATCAAAGGGCAAATCAAGGGAGGGAATAATTTACTGGTATTTTTTCCTTTTTTGGAAAGTGTCATAGGGCACCTTAAGATATTTATTAGATTGCTTTACAGGAAAGAATTAGCTGGTATACACCATTTCTAATGGTCACAGGGCACATCAATTTATCTGTTTGTTAACCTAGTATGAAATTCAAACCTGACATGGATAGTTGTGTCATTGGCAATCATACCTCATCTCTTTATTTTTATATTACCATGCGGAGGCAGCATTTAGTGTAACCCCCGTCCGTCTGTCCCAAAATTAGTTTCCATTCTCTAACTTTACTTTTTATGCCCCCGCTGTAGCGGAGGGGGCATTAAGTTTTACCCTTGTCCATCTGCACGTACGTCCATACGTCCCAAAATTGGTTTCCGTTCTCTAACTTGAGTTTGCCTCAACCAAAAGTTATGAAACTTATACACAATGCTTATTACCACAAAACACAGATCAAGTGTGAATTTGGGTGGCGTCACTTTTACAGTTCTAGAGTTATGCTTCTTTACAAATGGAAAAATTTCTGAATTTTTTTTTCCCCGTTTTCTAACTTAATATAAAAATAAGGAGATGAGGTATGATTGCCACTGAGACAACTATCCACCATAGTTCAAATAAAGTGGATGTAAGCAATTATAGGCAACCACACGGCCTTTAACAATGAGAAAACCCATACCGTATAGTCTGCTATAAAAGGCCCCGACATGAAAAATATGAAACAATTCAATCAAAAAAACTAACGGCCTAATTTATAACAATTTTATTTTAAGAAAACAAATATGACCAACATAAACCAACGACAACCACTGAACTACAGGCTCCTGACTTGGGACAGGCACAAAAAGAATGTGGCGGGGTTAAACATGTTTGTGAGCGCTCAACCCTCCCCCTAACTGGGGGCAGTGGTGTAACAGGACAACATAAGAACAAACTATAAAAATCAGTTGAAAAAGGCTTAACTCCTCAGATCGATACCAAGCAGAAAAACATCAAACAAATACACAGACAAGATGTGGCAGGGTAGTTGTCCATCCCTCATCCCTAACAACAAAAAAGGACACTAAGTTCAGATCTGAGAGTACTTGCAGTTACTGACAGCTAGTTCAAAGCCAATAACAACTAATAAAAAAAATGTATCTAAGACTAAAATGTCAATCAGTACACATCCAACATCCAATGGATTTAATGTAAAGACGTCATTAGCAGTCAGAGAAAAACATGACCTTGTTAAGTTTGCCTCATCAAAATGTTATGAAACTTATACATAATGCTTATTACCACAAGACACAGATCAAGTTGGAATTTGGGTGGCGTCACTTTTACCGTTCTTGTGTTATGTCCCTTTTAAATGGTATGCAAGTGAGGGCATTATCTGTGTCCCATGGACACATTCTCCATTTATTTTTAATTGGCACATGGCACTTCAAAATATTCTGTTAGATAACTGACATTTTCAGAGTACGAGACTTCAGTGCTTTTTGTGTATTTTATTTCTCAACCTTTTTTGAGTGTAATGTTTTGTGAAGTGTTGTTTTTCTTTTTGTCTACTTTCTTTTGGGCACACTCCATGGTGTTTGTTTTTGTTTGACTAACAGCTTTTAAAATCCCTTTTGATATCTTTTCCAGGGAACAAAAAAACTGTATTGCCTTTTTGGGGATGGTTACAGGGCAAATAAACAATTTGTTAAATAACTTGACAGGAAATAATGAGGTGGTTTACCTGATATGTTCAATAACTGGACAGAAAAATAAAGCTACCATATTTGCTTTTTTATACCAACCAGTTGAGTTTTTGGTCCATTTTTGTTTGTTGATCAACAAGTGTAACAATAAATACCTGCAGTACTATCACAATTAACATAACTATAAAACAAATTGTTTTAACAGACTTTAATGATGATATCAAACAAAATTGCACTGATTACATATTACAATGCTGATACTGAAGATACTGAAGCAAAAACAATCATATAAATGCCTGTGATTCCGAGGTTATGTATAGGCAGAAATAAATCTGGATAGTGTCCACATGTGGACACAGATGATGCCCCCGCTTGCATATCATATAGTTATAAAAGGACATAACTGAAGAACAGTAAAAGTGACGCTATCCAAATTTAAACTTGATCTGAGTTTTGTGTGTAAGTCTCATAACATTTGGTTGAGGCTAACTTAAGTAGAGAACAGAAACTAAAAATTCAGCAATTTTTCTATTTATAAAGGGGCATAACTCAATAATGGTTAAAGTGACACTACCCAAATTCAACTTGATCTGTGTTTTATCAGTGGAAGTCAAAATTAAACATTGCATTGTATAAAGCATTCATTGTAGTTGATTCAACTATAATCATGGACAAAGGAAGATAACTCCAATTTTAAAAATAACTTGATATTTAGAAGAAAATAAAAATTTTGCAATTTTTTCCATTTATAAAGGGGCATAACTCTAGAACGGTTAAAGTGACGCCACCAAAATTCAAACTAGAACTGTGTTTTGTGGTAATAAGCATTGTGAATAAGTTTCATAACATTTGGTTGAGGCAAACTTAAGTTAGAGAACGGAAACTAAAAATTTTGCAATTTTTCCATTTATAAAGGAGCATAACTCTAGAACGGTTAAAGTGACGCCACCAAAATTCATACTTGATCTGTGTTTTGTGGTAATAAGCCTTGTGAATAAGTTTCATAACATTTGGTTGAGGCAAACTTAAGTTAGAGGACGGAAACTAAAAATTTTGCAATTTTTCCATTTATAAAGGGGCATAACTCTAGAACGGTTAAAGTGACGCCACTAAAATTCATACTTGATCTGTGTTTTGTAGGTAATAAGCCTTGTGTATAAGTTTCATAACATTTGGTTGAGGCAAACTTAATTTAGAGAACGGAAACTAAAAATTTTGCAATTTTTCCATTTATAAAGGGGCATAACTCTAGAACGGTTAAAGTGACGCCCCCAAATTCAAACTTGATCTGTGTTTTGTGAAAATAAGCATTGTGTATAAGTTTCATAACATTTGGTTGAGGCAAACTCAAGTTAGAGAACGGAAACCAATTTTGGGACGTACGGACGGACGGACGTACGTACGTATGTACAGACGGACAAGGGTAAAACTTAATGCCCCCACCGCTACGGCGGGGGCATAAAAATTACTTTTACAATTCAAATGCTTGCAAATAAAATGAACTATTGGTTGTAGTTGCTTAAAAATGTTTTGATACTGCATATTAAATTGTTTTGTCATAATAAAAAAAAAAGAAAACAGGGAAAAAACTGGCATTAAGATAAATTTAAACACATAGTCTTTTAATTCATTTCTTCTTTGCATTCTGCCTAGTGTTATAAAAAACCTCATATGATTATCAAGTATTTTATAAGTGAAATCAGGCAATGTTATATAAAATAATTAACCACTTGATTTTTGAAATACAATGTTAACATATATAAAGTCTAAAAAATAATTAAAAGACTCAAACCTTTTATTCCAAACATGAATGATAAATGATGAACTATAATTAGATATTCTCTTCTGATATCTTATATTGTGAGCCAATTTCTATCAAAACAATACTATAGACTCGTATCATTTGTAGAATTGTGTTATGTAATTGGCTTTTCATTCTTTTTTTTAATTAAACAAAAAGAGAAATTTTAAAGTGGATTAGAATTTTTTTCCCCCTTAATTTTAAATTAATTTTAGAAGAGAGCAAGCCTGAAGAACACAGTCATTTGTTGTGGTGTATGGCTTTCATTGTATCTTCTTACAATCACAGGTTCCTCACAAAGACAAATCTTTCTTTTTTGTATGTAATCTTTATTTTCATTTCCAACATTTTTCAAATTTAAAAAAAAAAAGAATACACATTCTGCATATTTCTAAAGAATTAGTTTAAATTTTAACAAAAAGATACAAAGTGTTACATTTTAAGGATGCATTTTTATGGTTTGAAGATACATGTAGTAAAACAAAAAGAAAAATCAATAATCTAATCATAATATTTTACTTTATACAGGTTCTAACACTTATAATCAAGTCATATAAGTTCACAACATACCAAAAAAAAATATACCATTGCTTTCACAAGTGAATCCTGAATTCAATAAATGAGAAAAATGTACTGTGTAAATAATGGAAGGAGTTATGTGATGTTACAACAAATATAAATCAGATTTACTCAATACTACAATATCTAACAATTAAGGAATAATCTAGGTGTATTAAGTTCAATGAGAGCTTCTCTCAATCCCATATGTCTGAAGAGCTAAACAAAATAAATTGGCAAATGTACATTGAAAATAACAATGATGGAAAACACATTCATTTCATAATATGAACAAATAATTTTGTTGTCTTATAAAAATTAAGCTAGGATTTTGGACATAAGACCTCATAAAATTTAGTTATGCTACATAAATTTATTTGAAATTCTAGTTAGGGATTTTCAGTATTTCAAGAAAAATTGCATCAAAATAATGATACAACCATAAAATGACAACACACTTCAAGTGTTTGTTAGAAAAAACTGTGGACATTGTGTTTGGCTTATAGCCCATACACTTTCTAGACTGTAAGAATTATGAGAAGTCTGTTGCAACATTCTTGACAGCTTTAATAATGAGGAAACTATAGACAAAAATCACATTGAAATTAGATGAAAACTAGAAATCATATGTATCATATAAAAGTGTGATTTAAATACCCCTCGGGTCCTTCTAAAAGATAACTTACATGATCACAGTGTCTATATGTCTTAATTTAAACTTAAAAAGCCTTAAAAAATATTTTTATCTATAAAAGGATTTTGTAGAAAAATTTAAAAACCAACAACTCATCACACCTCAGGCTATTGTGATGAAGTCATCACTTGATGCAAGATGTAATTTTTCATTACCAATAGAATAAACTCCTCAATAAACTGTTGACACAGAGGTATGTCTCGCCTGTCGGCATAAAATTCAGAAAAAGACAATCTGATGGACAGCAACATTGCTAATTAATTTAAAGCTGCTGGACCAACTAGTGGGTAGGGCCTGGAAATGGTTGACAAACTGAGATGTACAGACTGCAATGTAACTTTATAGAAAATATTGTCTATTGTAAGTAGTTCCTATCAAACTACCTTAATCAGAAATATTAACATTGAAAATTGTTAATTGATTGAAAGTCAATGGACCATGACCTAGGGGGCAGGGCCTTGAAATAGTCGTCAAACTTATATGTACTGATAGTAAATCAATTTCATACAAAATATCATTGATCTATCACAAGTAGTGTTATCAAACTAACTTAAGCAGAAAACATAACAATTGTTGAGCAGTCGCTGGAAAAGCAATCCCTATGTCTTGCTTTCCAGATTTTCGTCGCAGGCGAGTTAATTATGGGAATAATGAGAGGAATTGGCTGACCAGAGGGCATATCTTCTTAAACTTCGGCTTTTTTGTGAACCAGACTGTAATCAAAATCCAAATTACAGCTGAGAATATGACTGTATGAAATACAACATGAATGCACCTGTATTTGGAAGAATAAAACATACACAACAATGTTAAAAAAAAACTAAAGTGGCATGGCATTTCCCTGTTTTCCATCATTGAAAAAACACCAAGTCAAGCTTATATCACAGTCAAATTATGTCTCAAAATGTCACAACTAACTAAATAAAATATTTTACAATAAAACATATAATAAGTATGTATGATTGACGACCTATGTAAACATGATTTTGATATATGTCACATGTCAACCTTTTTTTCAATCGCGAAAGATGATTAAAGTCTGAATTCATATCTAGTATTATATACGTCTAGTATTTCTAGAAATACTTTCCAAAAACTAGAATTTCATCCAAAAAATTTAGCAAGTCTATATGATTTTTATCATATAAAGTATCTTTGAAAATAGATACAACAACATAATGAAATGTCTGTGATACATTGTATATCATTGAAAAAAAACATGACATGAAATTATTAGTGATGGAAAATTTTGATCTAATGTAAATCCATTTTAGATTTCTACAAGTTACAACAGGATAGTAATCACTAAAATAATGTCAATAATGATACACAAAAAGGATAACAAAATATGATTGTTATGCTATTAATACAACTTATTATTTTTAATAAGTTTATTGGAGAGCATGACCATCCTACTTACTCGAATGACATAATACTTTAATGATAGACACAAATGATCATATAAGAATGTCCAATGTGATCTCTTTCTGTATATACATGTTGCACTATGTTAAAAATGTATGAAATATGAAATTCAACCTCAATCCTCATTAAATATGTTAACTCCATCCTAAATAACACCTAGACCAATCAGTTACTTCAGAAACATGTTCCCATAATGCAACACAATTTCTGAATTGATCAGTTGAATAACATAAGCTGTATGTTGATATCAGCATTACACATACTTTCACATATACATGTATGAAGTTGCTTGGAATTTACCAAATTAATTGAAATTGAATTCTAATTTTTTTTAAACATGAGATCAATTGCACCTTATATACATACAGGTTTTGAATGAAATAGGTTTTCCTCTAAAATTGGTCAGAGAAAAAAATAATAAACTGAAAGACTGTAAAATGTCAGGAAACCTGATTCTGAGTTGATGTTTAGCAGCAGTACTATAATATCTAAAAATATTTTAACTGAAATTTAAAGAAATATTATGTTTACAAACTGACAATCAATACACAAAGTATATCATTCGATAACATGATGGCTGTTATGAAGAAAACAACTATTCACAGAAAGAAGACAATAAAGTTAGTTCTGACATCTTTCCCTCATCTTCCATTGTTTTCAGACAATAAACAAATCTCAAGCTGAAAATTAGTTAAGGAAAAGTTAATGTCTTGCTATAATGTAAGAAAAAAGGACATGCTGGGTAATGATGACAACTCAAGAAATCAAAAACATTGCAAAGGTTTCTGCAGAACACTGTGTCCACAATTCCAGCTGTCAGTGCAAAAGTGTTGTACTGGTAGCCAAAAACTACAAAGTTCATTTATCAGTAAAATACAGAATTTAATTTTTAAAATAAAACTTTTTCTTCAAACGCTATTATGTGTAGTTGACATTTCTTGTAGGATTGTAATGAAATTAAAAACAAAGGAATATATCAGCAGTCTTAGTTGAGTTAAAAAAATCAGTGCTGATTAATTATTTTTATAGGAGTTATGTCCCTTTCGAAATGTAAATTCTATAGGAAGTTTGCACTGTAAAGACTCTCAAGTCTACAATTCAGTCAGATTTTTATAAAATTTATATCAGTAATGTCTTGGAAGAATTCTCAAATCAGTGACAGACGACTATTTTTCGAGAATTATGTCTCTTTGAAATGCAATTTGTATTTTACATTGCACTGTAAGCACTCACACCTACATTTTTTGAAGACTTAATGAAATTTATATCAAATAAGTCTTGGTGAAGTTGGATAATCAGCGTCATTAAAATATTTTTTTACAGGAATTATTTCCCTTGAAAATAGAAATTTTATGGAAAATATCATTATCAACAATTTTAGGCCTACATTTCTGTTGAGATATTTATGATAAAGTTAAAAAGTGAGTTATTGTCCTTGATAAAATATGTGCATTTGCGGGGGACATTGGAAAGTATTCTTTTATTGTATATGGAAAAGATACACAGCATGTTCTTTTGTTTTTGTCAAGTTTATGAAGAAAGCTAGCGAAGCAATACATAGTCATTAACATTTAGTCATTAAGATTCAGTCTGTGGTTAAAGTTTTTTTAGACACGAATAACTTGTTAATTTAATAGAATGTTACCTAACTTGGACAGAAGCTTCTTCATGATCACTTACTATGCAATTTTTCATATAATTTATATTTCCAAGGTACATAAGTCTTTTAAAAATAGTTGATAAAGCACTGATTTTTTAATTTGTCCGAGACATTGCTGATATAAACCTTTGATACAAATTTCATAAAAAATTGTACCGATTTGTGCAAGGGATATTTATTTAGCAAATTTATGCTCAATATCTGCAATGTGGGCTGACAACAAACAAGAAAAATAACAGTTTTTTTCCAAGTCAAAGGATTATAATTACTTTTAACAGTTAGCCAACTTGAACATAAACTGTTAACACAGATTTATGTCTCGCCTATTTGTTATTTTGATAATGCAAATGTTGAAATTAAAATAGCAATATTTTAACATGTAAGTTATTCAAATATTCAAAGTCAATGAACCATGACTGAAGGTACAGGGCTAAACAATCTCCAGGGAAATGAGATGTGCCAATGCTAATACAACTGCAAACCAAATTCTATTGACTTTTCATAAGTAGTTCCCTTTAAACAAACCTAAACACAAACATTAACTTGTAAACTATGTAAAAGTTTCAAAGTCAATGAACCATAATTAGGGGCTGGGGTTATATAATCTCCATGGAAATGAAACTTGCAATGCCAATATATTTGCATACCGAATATCATTGACTTAACATTAGTGGTTCATCTTAAACTGACCTAATCACAAACTAATACATGTAAACTAAGCAAAAGTTTTAAAGTCAATAGACCATGACTGAGGGGGTAAGGACCAAATATTCTCCATGGAAATGAGATGTGCTAATGCTTATACAACTGCATAATCACTGACCTACCACTAGTGGTTCCCCATAAACTGACCTAATCACAAACTAATACATGTAAACTAAGCAAAGTTTCAAAGTCAATAGACCTTGACTGAGGGGGCGGAGCCAAATAATCTCCATGGTAATGAGATGTGCCAATGCTAATACAACTGCATACCAAATATCATTGACCTACCACTAGTGGTTCACCATGAACTAGACCTAATCACAAACTAATACATTGTTGACCGACACCGGAAACAGCATACCTATGTCTCGCTTTTTGACTCCGTCAAGGCGAGACAAAAACTAACATGTAACATGTAACTACTTATTACAATCATATACCATTTTTCCTGTTTTACCCCCAGTATTCTTTTCATAGTGACATTTGCCATGGTAAGAAATCCAGCATCAGAAATAATTTTTCAACTACAAACCCTAATGGTGATACAGTTAATTTTTGTTTCAAATATGCAAAGCAGTTTCACAGAATAAGATTCTTCAAAAAGTTAACAAATGGATGAATGATGGCAATAGCCAAGACTGGACCTTCAGCCTAATGATGGCAATAGCCAAGACTGGCCCTTCAGCCTAATGATGGCAATAACCAAGACTGGACCTTCAGCCAGATGAGGAAATAAAAGGATACAGTTCTCAGTCCTCTTTCTACTGGATCAACCAACATCATTCCTCTGGGTACATAGTAATCTTGGTTTTGTTCTGCGATGAATTTAGTAATTTTCTTTAACATCTACAAAATAATTAAAAACAAAATATTTTCGTACCTTGTGTAGTTTAAAATAGTGTACAACAATTTAAATTTTGAAAGTTATCATTACAATTTGAATGCCTATACAAACTTTGTCAGTTCCCATGGCAAGGAAAAAATAATTTTTGAAGTCCTCCATTTGTTATATTCCTGAACAAATATATTGTTGCATTTTAGTTTGTTTTAATGTCAGATCTACTTGATTTTTGGTCTCAGGATTTCCATACATCAAAATGACATTTTGTGCACCAAAAGTATTTATAATAAATAAAATGATTTTCCCATATCATTTACAAATGTCTAAAATACATAATTCCAACACTATATTTTAGTTATTGTAAAATTTAATTCACAAATTTCGCACTCATTTGGGTTATTAAGTAAAAATTATATGCCCTTAAATATATAAATCTAACATCATGTTGCAACAGCTTATTTTTCAGGAATAATAAATTAATAGTTCAGCGTATTGCTTCATCTATTGCTTTGCCTTTAATAGTTCTGCAGAACTTACAATTAATTTGGTGTGTCCTCATTTTACAATCGTTACATTTCAAAATCTAATTTTTTTAAGTCTAAATAACAACTTGAACCAAAATGAGGACAATACACATGATAAATGAACTCTACCTTTTCATAATGTGTATCAAAACAAATGTAACTTGTATACGCTGTTAGACATGCTAAGCAGCTCTCACAATAATTTCTCCCTCCTAAGGTTTCTGCTTCAGCAAACATGCTATTCAGCTGAGTAATAGTTCTTACAAATACTTCAGTCTCCAACTGTAAAATAGTAACAAAATGAACATGTGAGAAATATTTTAAATGTAACCTTTGTATCATTTTTTTGTAAAGGCTTAAATGTAAATAGAGGCTCTTAAGAGTACATGTATGTGTCACTCACATACCTACATTTTGTAGATCTATGTTTGGAAGTCACCTAAATTGAACAAAATTTGCTACCACACATGTACATGTACATTGCATATCATTTTCTGAATGTAAACAATAAACTAATAGGCTAACATGCATAACCTTTTTTAAGCGCTATCCTATCTACAGATGTGTAAGCAGTATGAAATTGAAATTGCAAATTGTAATGGGAGATAATCCATATAATATCACATTACCTTTCCATTAAGCTCTGCTGGAAATTTAGTAAGAAATTTGACTGATGTGCCCTCTGAGAAATCTCTTTGTATAAAGACCTTCTGACAATTATTTGGTGGTATACCACTAATGTCATCCATATCTGCAAAACAAATAGAAATTAAAACATAACTACCTACAAGTATAATCAATTTAAAAATATATACTATAAATTCAGAAATTATTGCAAGGTTTTTATTTATGCGAATAATGCGACTCCATGAGTATCACAATATTAAGAACTCGTATTCTGAAATCTGATATGCAGATGTTTCTGAAATCGCAATAATTAATCTGGCATTTTTGTCCATTCCTCAAAAATCGCAATAATAAATGCACGCAATAATTTCTGAATTTACAGCATTTAAGATAAAGATTCACTACCGGTATAACTTATTTCACTATGAATATAAGGAGATGTGAAACAAACAACCAAGTTTGAACTAGATGTCAATAACTGCTAGTACTCTCAGATCTGTACTTAAGTGTCTTTTTTGTTGTGGGGATGTATAAATACCCTGCCACGTCCAGTCTGTGATTTTGTTATATGTTTTTCTTCTTTGTATTGATCTGATGAGTTAAGCCCTTTTCAACTGATTTTTAAAGATTGTTCTTATGTTGTACTGTTACCCCACTGTCCCAGGTTAGGGGAGGGTTTGATGCCAGCAAACTAGTTTAACCCCGCCTCATTCTATATGTGCCTGTCCCAAGTCAGGAGCCTATAATTCAGTGGTTGTTGTTTGTTGCTGTATATCATACTTTTTTTCCGTTCATTGTTTTGTACATAATTCAGGTGGTTAATTTTCTTGTTTGAACTGTTTTACATTTGTCATTTCATGGCCTTTTATAGACAATTATGTGGTACGGGTTTTGCCCATTGTTGAAGGCCGTATGGTGACCTATAGTTGTTAACTTCTATGTCATTTGGTCTCTGGATGGGAGTTGTCTCATTGGCATTCATACCACATCTTCTTTATTATAACCATAAACCACTGAAGTGTAGTAAGTTCACTTTCAATCAGACGATCAAAATTTTAGATATTGTTTATAACTTAAGGGCTGATTTTGATACTCTTAAATCTTTCATTTATCATGTTTATTTGAATTCCAAACCTCGACCTAATTGATATCCTGGCAACAGCTAATTCCCTTACCAGTGATCTTTTTTAATTCAAGCCATCATATTCATGCATTAAAAAAAGGTCAATGTGATGTAAAACTCAACCACAGCCATATGCATTTATGAGTAAAATGAAGATCAAGTGACCAAATTTTAATGTGAACATTTAACTAGTATATAGTTGTTTAGTCACTTAATGTGATGTTTGATTAGTTTACTTTGGTTGAAGTGGAACAAATTTGCTTTCCTAATATTGTTTTTATGATGGACCAATGTCATGATACTGAAATACTCTTTGATAGAATGTTGAGAGTTTGACTTGTTTGGTCTAAAACATAACTAAAGACAGGTGTTTTCTCATTCATGTTAAAGATTTTTTTTTTACATCATGTTTCTAATCTTGCATTTTAGAGACATTCTCATTTTAGACAGTTTTTTTAATAAAAGGAGATTAGGATATACAAATGATATATGTCAATCTCAGTCAATGGGACAGCTAAATGTACATGTACATGTACCTGACAACATCAATGCAACCATCCATTAATGTATTAATATGAGGACAAAGTCCTCCATTACAGTAAATATAAAAAAAGAAGATGTGGTATGATTGCCAATGAGACAACTCTCCACAAGAGACCAAATGACACAGAAATTAACAACTATAGGTCACCGTACGGCCTTCAATAATGAGTAAAGCCCATACCGCACAGACAGCTATAAAAGGCCCCGAAATGACAATGTTAAACAATTCAAATGAGAAAACTAACGGCCTAATTTATGAACAAAAAATGAACGAATAACAAATATGTAACACATAACCAAACGACAACTGAATTACAGGCTCCATTACAGTAAGCATGGTAAGGAAATCTATAAGAAAAAAAAACAATTTCCATTTTTTTTTCTATTTTGGAATGCAAAATTCATTAATTGCAATTTTTTTTACAACATTAGCAATTGTGCATTGTCCTGTTTATAGAGGCTGTTATGTTGTAAAGCAAAAGATTCCTGCAAATTTATGAACACTAAAATGTATCATGAAATATTAACGACTAAAACTAAGTCCCCTTTCACAGGTAACAACTGACTCATATTAAAGACATTCATGAATGCCAATAGACCTTTGTATCCAAAGATTTACACATTAGATATAAAAATAAGAAATATAGTATGATTGACAATGAGACAACTCTCCACCAGAGACCAAATAATGCAGACAGTTTCCAACTATATTTTGTTTTATTTTCAATCTAGCAGCCTGCCCTTTTCAAAACCCAACCATACAATACATGCAATAATATACAGCATCAATAGCTTAAGAACTGGGTATCACTTCTGGGTCTTTTTAAAAATATTTAAATTTACAATCAATTCAAGTGTTTCCCTTGTAAACAAAAGAGGTAAATGACATGTTTAGTTACACAATACGAATTTTCTAATGATTTGATACATGTATATAAATATGGGCATGTTGATGCCATGTTCTGACATACATGTATGCATGCCATGCACGGAACAAAAATCGATGCAAGACATTTCAGCCACACAACCAATTCAGCTACAGTCGTTTCGTCCACAGTCGATTCAGCCATACTGCCAGTTTGGCCATACATGTACTTTGAAAAGTCGTTTTGTCCATGGTTTTTATTGTTATAAAGGGAGGAAAATGTAATTGTTTATTAAAACGAGACAAATTGGAAAATACATTTTTATGTTGATAATCATTTCTTTGCTATACATCTAATGTATTAATTATGCTTTTGTCAAGTAATTGTTGAGAAAATACAAATGTGACAAGATAACTTAAAAATTTGTAAGGGTTCTGCGGAACCCAGTGTCTCGCCTACTTTTGCTGTTAGTCGCAGGCTCAAAAATGGGGAAAAATTTATTAAAAATTTTCCTCTAAGATACTATCTTTTGATTGTAAGGAGGTTCCATCTAAGTTTGGTAAAAATCCAGGATGGTTTATGAATCTAATAAATGATTTAAAAACTTTAACTGCAGACTGTATGTAATGTTATTAAACTGGAAGAAAAACTAAGTTCATTTATAAGTAATATACAGAAAAACAGGAAACAAATTTTTACAAAATTTCCTTCTAGCTATAGCTTTTGATCATAAACATGCTTATGTCCAAGTTTGGTACAAACCCAGGATAGTTTAAGAAAGTTAATAAAATTTTAAAAACTATAACCACAGAGTGAATGTAATGTTAATTGGCAGAAAAACTAAGTCCATTTATAAGTAAAGATAAACAGGATTTTATTTTTTTCAAAATTTACTTCTGGATACTATCTTATGATCATAAACAAGCTTCTGTCCAAGTTTGGTAGAAATCCAGGATAGTTTTATGCTGCTTGAGTAGCCCTTTGAAGTTTCGACCTTGTGGCATAAATGAAACCCAAAATGCTTGATTTAATAAAAATAAATATTCATATCAAAACAGTCATAGTCAGTTCACACTAGTGATGGTTTTTGGATTTTATGCAGTCATTGGTGTCTACGTTTCTCATAATTATGTTTTGATGGAACATATATCTATAATTGATTTGATTATTCTGATGGGCATTGATTCTTTTGTTGACAAATGACATATTGTTATTTTCTATTCTTGGTTATAAAACAGTATCTGGTCTGTTCGCTCCCAGAACATGTTCGCCCCCTATTTTTATTTAAATACTGGTCGAGTTATTAGATGTTTTTAAGATGTAAGATGTATATATCCAAATATTTATATTTTCATTAATAAATATTCGTGCATTTCCTTCATGAAATATTTTTTTTTATCAGATGATTAATTTTTGAATGTTAATTATTTATGATTACTGTTAATTGGTATTTACAAAGCTATATATTTGGTATAATTGATATGAGTTTGAAAATCAGGATTGTTGTTATAACTATAGCTTTGGTGTAGTAAGCCTAAACATTTCATTGCTCTTTTTTAGTTGCTGTCGTGGCAATGTCATTGTGACGAGTTTGATAGCCGTATGATATCTTCCGCCTTTCTTTTAGATCTTAGATGAGTGAACTTGGTCTTTGATCATCATGGCAATATCAATTATTCATTTTGTCAATACTAGTAATTCACAAAACACTAAATGGAAACCTGATTACGCTTTCAGAATGTCACTTTATATTAAAATAATAAAAAAACTTATTATCTTTATTTTATAGCAATATCAAAACAAAACCTTTATTAAGCATGTTAAGGGTGCGAACGTGAAAGGGTGAAAACACAATGAAATGGAAGCAAACATGATTTTGGGCAAACGGCCCTGGATCCTTATAAAATAATATATCATCCAAGCACAAATGTCTCATGGAAACCTTAAGTTAATGTCTTAATCATCATGACCATGATGAATTATTTAAGTAATAATATTCCTTTTCAAACAAGACTTCTGTCAAAACAATTAATACATCTGTATATATTAGAATATGTAAAGTGTGGCCGAATCGACTATGGCCGAACCGACTGTGGCCGAAATGGTACTGTGGTCGAATTGGTTGTGCGGCCGAAACGTCTCGAAAGCTCAAAAACCTGTCAAAATTGTTGTTAAAAAATAAGAGGTTTTTTGTGAAAATACATCTTCAACTTGAAATATAGTCAGATGTAATTTTACCTATGGATGACCTTTTTTCCTTGGTCTATAATTGAAAGCTGAAAGTGTTTTTCAAACAGAATTAAAGCCTATATTTAAAAACAAAGCATTTTCATAATAATAAATGTCAATGACAATGTTGTGACGATACGGGCACTTCCTGTTTAGTCACGTGGTACAAGGGAATGATAATTTAGGACATGAACCGGAAAATTTAATTCCGGAGGATTGATAAATCTTTTCTAAAGTGTATATTAAATGTGAAATATTTCGTTCCATTGTATTTATGTTTTAAAATTACAGTAAATAAGATTTTAAAGTATATATTATGCAGCATTTCTATACAGGCGTTTCTTTTGATATCCTTTCTACTCCTTTCCCCTGTATGGTGCCCTTACTTATTTTCTGTACATTCCTGTCAAAAGAACGCTTATTAGATACAGGAATTCAGGGTAATGGTACAAGCATTAACCTGACAGAAAGACCTGGGTGACCTGACTGTGGATGTAAATACACGAGTAAAACATGATTAAATAGAAATAATCCCTTTTTTTGATAGTCTAAATTGATCGATTTTTGTTCAATATGTCGGACTCAGAAGATGAAGCACCAGACAGACAGCTCAAAATTGTTATCATGGGAGATGGTGCTTCAGGAAAGGTAAAACATTCCATCAGTGTTGTGTTTAGCAACGGAGAAAACATAAAACGTGTCAAGGAACATAGGACACATATCTGTTTTACAGACAGTAGTGAAAGTCTTGTTTTTGTGTTTGTAAACTGAATAAAGCATACTCAAAAAAATCTTTGTTATAACACACATTTCCGTTTATCACTTCCTTGAACAGTTGAACAGATAAAAACATAAAATCAGATCATAGACATAGACTAAGACATAGAAAATCAAATTCTGATCACTCTTCTTTTGTAAGCTTAGAACACCTCTTTCAGACATAGAAATAGAACTAAACAAAATAGCTACTTGTTTATTGGTCTTTAGCTTACAATGTATTTTTTTACATGGATATCATTGCACACACTTGATAAAGGTCAAATTATAGTCATTAGCCAATTGTTTTAGTATACATGTATGTATGATATTGCACGAAATTTTGGCATGTTTTATGTTTAACGTGAAAAGTACACCAAAATCCAGTTTGTCTGCCATTGAAAAAATTGTTCCCGTTTTTATTCAGCCTCACAACAGAAAATCTTTGACATGTCAGACAAAAGATTAGTATTTTGCAAACAGGATTAAGTCAATGTTTGTATAATTCCAGAACTCCAGATGAGTTTTACCCTGTATTAAAAAAATAGTACATTTTTTTCTATTTTATTAGAAAATGATGCAGTCAATTTTCTTTTACCATTGACCAGACTTCCAACCCGCATTCCGAACTCGGTTCCATATTTTACATACTAAAAGTGAATGTTAGTATGCTCATACATTGGTAAAAGAAAGACAACTCCAGCGTTGCAAATGTACATTTTAAAATAACAGATGGTGTTGTCTCCCTTCAATATGTCTTGTTGTGTACAAAATGGAGGTCATTAACCTTCATGACCGTCGGACAATTTTCAATCATATTGTTGGAAATACAACTGGAACAACTTGCACGATTCAGGCGTGAAATACTCGATTTTGACCCCTTGTCACGATTGCACGATTGTGATCGTGTAAAAACCTCAAAACCACGATTTTGTTAAATTCTACTGTTCCCAATATTTCGAACTTTCCTCAAACCATTCCCAAGGGAGACAACTGTGATCAGCCAATCAAAATCGTTGTTTCTCCTGATCTTTGGGTATTGTAAACTGCAAATGTGCTAAATTTTGAACTTGTTAGGAACTCAGAATATTGTAGAAATCGTGATCATGGCAGACCAATTTCAATTACAAGAAGGTTCTTACACAGCTTAAGAAGTAAATCATGACTGATTGACAAAGCTCAAAGATACAGTTCAACCATAAACATAATAAACAGTAGCTAATGGACAAATTTTACACTTATGGTAACAGATTTCATTCTTGAAATTAAATTACCAAATCAATTAAAGTACAATGTTCTATCTTTTAATTTTCACAAGGAATCAGATATATTTCCTTTTTTGTGCATATTTTTATATTTGAAAAGTCAACAATCACTTTAATATTCCTGTGACCAATAATCTGATAATCCACCTTTAAGGTTCATCTTATATACACCAACAAAAAATGGCTGTGTTTACAGCATGAAATTTTCTCTGAATGCAGACAAAACTGTGTAATTCTAATAGTTTTAAATCCTGGCAGCACCTGGCCACAACTCCTCTTTTTCCTGTGGTACCTGAAAACAATAAACCGGTTTGGTACATTGTTGAGGTCTGAAAGTGACTTATAACTGCCAACAGCCACATTATTTGGACTCTGGTAGATAGTACATCAGACTGTTATCTCATTGGCAATCACACCCCATCTCCTTATTATTACGGGTCAGTTATTTGAAATAAATGACTACCGTACTCAACATTAAATCATTTGAAAAAAAATAATTTTGCAATAATTTATGTTGTCATTTTAAGATTTCAGTGTAAGCTTGCTTACTACAGCCTCTTCACAATGAAATTAAGTTGTATAGATGGTGTCACTTTGTTTATAATTGTGAAACTAGTATAACAATACTATTGTCTAAATCTACAGAAATTGATCATGTTTAGGTAACTGAAATAACAATGTGATTTTGTCACTTGGTCACCTGTAACTTATCTCTTGAATAAGGACTATGTTGGGTATAAGAGCTTTCTTACTACAGGCTCTTCATAATCATTTTGTTAAATATATACAAATAAAGGAAACACATTCACATATTACTTTGAATATTGTAGATTGTTCAGGTAGTCTTGAGCTATATTTTTGTACAGCAGAACAACTAGTAGTTATTTTCACTTCACACACATATATATATATCTTGACAAACAAATAAAAACGCTATAGATTATGGAAACAATTCATATCTATTCTATCAGTCACCCTACCTACCATAAATTGAAACGTCGCCTAAGATTCAGTAAGTAAATTAAGTAAAAATCAAGACTTGTATTAAAAATATCCCAATATGAGAGACAATGGCGTCATTTTTACTTAGAGCTTTCAGCTCTTTGATTCATAAATATGTTTTAAGGATTGATTGCAATTACTGTTTCATCAAAATGTACTCTTTTTATTCTTGGCAAGGTGAGTTTGATTCCACTATTAATTTACTAGTACTAAGATTGCCAGTGTTCATTTCATTCCAAAGGTAATAGTTTTCTCTTGATACTACATCTTTCCTCCTCAAATAAAAACAGGCTGCAATGAATAGCAAAGAGTGCTGAAAGTATTACATTTTACACCAAAACTGAATCAACCAGCAAGGTTTCTTAAGGATGCAGCCCCAATTCTGAAAATACCCATTACTTTCTTGATAAATTTATCTATCTTTGAAGGTACGGTACCTGACGATCTGAAAATGGCTACGGTCAAGTCCCTATTTAAGAAAAATGACAGACTTAAACCTGAAAATTACAGCCCTGTTAGCATTTTAAGTATTGTTTCTAAAATTCTAGAAAAAGCTGCCTATAAGCAACTTGAAAATTTTTTGATTTCAAATAATTTATTATTTGAGTTTCAATCAGGATTTAGAAGTTCATATTCAACTGATTCTTGTCTCATTCACTTGATAGATCACATTAAAACTCAAACAGCCAAAGGTCTTTTTACAGGCATGGTCCTATTAGACCTACAGAAGGCGTTTGACACGGTAGATCACAAGATATTATGTGACAAATTAGAAGTAATTGGGGTTAGATCTATACCTTGGTTTGAGTCATATTTGACAAACAGAAAACAGGATGTAAGTGTAAATGGGGTGATTTCAGAAGTATGTAATATTACATGTGGTGTCCCACAAGGTAGCTTACTGGGTCCACAATTGTTTTTGATCTATGTCAATGATGTTCAAACTAGCATCGACTCGGATTGTAAAGTTTTGATATATGCAGATGATACTGCAATTTTATTTTCCCATATAGACCCTGGAGTCATCTCGCATAAATTATCCAGAATGCTGGAATCATGCCATGATTGGTTAACTGACAATAAATTGTCTCTACATTTGGGAAAGACAGAGAGTGTTAATTTTGGTCCTGGTTGAAAACTTCGGTCTTTAATACTGGGTGATTTTGCTATCTCCTGTAATGGTATTGATATTGAATCCAAAACTTTTGTAAAATATTTGGGAATAATAATTGATCAGTTTCTAACTGGTGATTTTATTGTCAACTCTATAGTGAAAAAAGTCAACCAAAGGCTTATATAGAAACAAAGAGTGTCTAAATTTTCTATCTAGGAAAACATTGTGCTCTTCTCTAATTCAATGTCATTTTGACTATGCATCGTGCATGCTGGTATGAAGGTATAATAAAACAAATGAAGAATAAACTTCAAGTGGCACAAAATAAGATTGTGAGATTTATTCTACAATTACATCCCAGAAAAAGTGTGACTTATATTGAGTTTAAGAAATTGGGCTTTTTAAATATTAGTAATGGAGTCAAACAACTAAGACTCAATCATGTTTTCAACATTTTTAACAATATATGCCCAAATTATTTACATACTAATTTTGTTAGAAATGAAACATCTTTCAATACAAGATCTAGTAGTAAAAACTTTTATATACTAGGAATTAAAGGGTGTGAATCCACCACTTTCTTTTATAATGGAATAAAAGACTGGAATTCGTTACCAGACATGATTAAAAGTTGCTCTAAAAAATATAATTTTAAAGTACAAGTGAAAAAGTTTTTAATGGATAAATTTAAATCCATCTTTAATAGTGAATTTGTTTTTTTTTTAATTATACTGGGGCTTTGACCATTTATCTGTGATAAATTCTAAATGATTTGTGTTTGTATTTTTCTATGTGTCAACCCTTGGTGTAAACTGGAAGTCTCGTCATAAAAGGACCCCACTGGAAATAAGTTTTAATAACTTTTGTGGGTCATCCTAAGATAATAGGCTACAGTGAAAATCTAGTCAATTTAAATTTAAATTTCACTCATTATTCAATCTAGTCTATTCATATTATCAAAATATCATGAAAATTTTCATAATTTTACTTTTTAAATTAAAGTTTTTAGTAAACATGTAAATCATTTTAGTGTCTATAAACTATGTCTAGTGCTATATCTGTGTCATTGTAATATATTGTATCTGTCAAATTCATGCCTTTTTATCTTGAATAAATATATATATATATATATATAACCAATCGATTCATACAATGATAAAGGAATAAGATGTTTATTTTTTTCTTTTTATTTTACAGTGTATTTTGTTTATTCACCTTATACATGTAAAGCAAACAATCAGTTATTTATTAAAGTTGTACAGAAAAACAAAAGTTTTGACTTCTTATATATACATTGAAAATATATATATTGGCCTGTTGAGGCAACAGTGTACAAAATGTACATGTAGATATAAGAAGATGTGGTATGAGTGCCAATGAGACAACTCTCCATCCAAGTCAAAATTTATAAAAGTAAACCATTATAGGTCACAGTACGGTCTTCAACACGGAGCCTTGGCTCATACCGACCAGTAAGCTATAAATGTACATGTATTCAAGGAAATCTGATTACTAATTAACCAGTACCAGTTCTTATTTTGTACATTTGTATATGAGGATCTTAAACAAGCCACAACTGCAAACAATTGTTAAACTTGTATGAAGTCTTAACTATACATGTAATTTGTAAATTGATTTTTTTTAACAAAAAAAAATTCTAAGTCAATAACATTGAATTTAATAAAAGAGATATATCAACAAAGAAAAGCAAACAAAATGGTCAGAAGAATACATATAGGCCATGATCAATAATGAATAAGACAATTTTTTATATAATCAATTGTCCTTTCAATTAACTCAGATACTGCAATGTTACAAGGACAGTTGTGCTTTTATATATAATTTTCATGCCTTGGGTTGTAACCCCTAAATGTACACCTGAAAATTAGCTTTTATGTTTATATATACATGTAAAAGTTCAATTTTTATTCAGAAATTCATTTAATTTTTGTCCCACCCAAGACAAAAGTCCTTGAAATGAGAATTAGGTGTGCAAATTCCAGCATCTCTGATGAAACATTTGTTAAAGTTTGTTATAAGTTCAGTTTAAGAGGAACCACTAATTCTAAGTTAATGATATTTGATATGCAGTTGTATTATCACTGGCGCAGGCACATCTCATTTCCATATAACGGTAGATTATTTAGCCCTGTTTATTCAGTCATGGTCCATTCATTGACTTTGATACTTTTGCGCAGTTTACATTTTCAAATTTGAGTTTTTTTAGGAATAACTAATGGAGTCATTTTCTTTCACATTACAGACATCACTTGCTACTAGATATGCACAAGAACAGTTTGGTAGGCAGTATAAACAGACAGTTGGAATTGACTTTTTCCTGAAAAGAATAGTTTTACCAGGTATTTATTAAATCATAATTTAGGTTACACAAAAAAAATTGAAAAAATAAATTGAAAGTATTTTTTATGCGTGAAATCTGGTGTCCGATACAACACATTTAAATCAGTATTTGATGTAAAGACTTCATTAAATTAGCATTATTACCACTATGAATGCAAAAATAAATGTAGTGTTACAAAAAAAATTACAGGAAGAATATTGCAGTTATTTAACTATCATATTTTAATTTTTTCTAGTAGTTGTCTACTTCATGTATGATGAAAACGTCTTGCAATCACTAATGTCAAATTAATGAAAGTCATTAGAATTATGTCGATAAATCCATTCATTATAATTTAATTTCTGAAATTTACCTAAATTATTTTTATGTTTAAAAAATGGATGAATGAATAGAATGTCATAAAAACATATAATTTAAATTAATTTTCACTTAAAAAATATAGAAATTGATTCATCCTTCAGCTGGTATTTTTTACATGAAAGAGACACATATTCTTTTTATTATAATTTAAATTTTTGTCATATAAGTCCTAGATTATATTCCAAACAACTAAGTGTTACTTATATTTATTTAAAAGTATGTAAATCTATAAATAAATTGTATTTGTGTTTTAGGAAATGTTCATGTAGCTTTACAGGTATGGGATATAGGAGGACAGACATTAGGTGGTAAAATGTTAGAAAACTACATATTTGGATCACACGTAAGTTTAAATGAACAATATAGATATATGAAGGGAGCAAAGTATGCCCTTATTATTGTATATATACTGTAAACTAACTTATTTTCACAGATGCTTTTCGTTCACGTATAGCAGAATAGCTCTTTCCTGTTGATTTCCCAGCGATTATTTTTGCAATTTTCTAACTTTGTTGGTGTATTTATATAAAAGAAGAGCTTAGTTTTACAAAAAATCTTCTTTTTTAAATATTTTATTGATAAATCCACTTTTTGCAGTAAACATTAAGGCACTTAGTTTAACCTTCAAAAGTAAAATGGGTGATGCCTTACTTTACAAACCCTTAAATATAAACACCAGATTACAAATAAAAAGGCTTCTTTAAGATGCTTACTTGTGACATGTCCTATATTTTATAGATTTTTACAGAAATAAGAACTAAGGATTCCTTTCCAGCTTCCTCCTCCATTACTTTCAATTATGTAATTTCACAGAAAATTGCACCATATTAATGAATTGTGTGTACCATGATGCCAATTCCTAACAAAATTAGAAGGATAAGACAGGTTGTGCAGTATTTGTGTCAAGATTTAAAAAAAACATGGCTCCTGAAAACAGAACATTGGCATCATGGGTAGTAAAATTATCCTGATTACAAAGTAGGTAACCAAACACTGGCTACTGGGTAGATGGCACAATCAGGTATCTACAGTTCCCCCTTAGTGGAACTTACCTAGTAGTAATCATATTGTCATAGTGCAGGCCACTGAAAGCAGAACATTGACATCATGGGTAGTAAAAATTTCCTGATCACAAGGGAAGTAACCAGTATTTTGATATATTGTCATATTTTGTGAAAATAAATTGAAAATCTCCTGGTTTTTATACGACCGCAAAATATTTTTTGTGATCGTATAATGGTATGATGTCGTCGTCGTCATCCGAAGACACATTGGTTTCCGGACAATAACTTTAGTTTAAGTGAATGGATCTCTATGAAATTTTTTAAGAAGGTTCAATACCACAAAAGGAAGGTTGAGATTGATTTTGGGGATGATGGTCCCAACTGTTTAGGATCGAATTAGGGGCCCAAAACAAGCATTTTTCTAGTTTCAGGATAATAACTTGTGTATAAGTATTTCGATTGCTCTGAAATTGTACCACAATGTTTAATACCACAAGTAGAAGGTTGGGATACATTTTAGGTGTTATGGGGCCAACAGTTTAGGAATTAAGGGCCATAAAGGGGCCAAAATCAAGCATTTTTCTAGTTTCCAGACAATAACTTGTGTGTAAGTGTATGGATCTCTCTGACATTGTACCACAAGGTTCCATATTACAAAGGGAAGGCTGGGATTGAGTTTGGGGTTAATTGTCCCAAACATGTACGAATTAGGGGCCAAAAAAGGGCCAAAAACAAGCATTTCTAGTTTCCAGACAATAACTGGTGTGTAAGTGTATGGATCTCTCTGAAATTGTACTACAAGGTTCCATACTACAAAGGAAAGGCTGGGATTGAGTTTTGGGGTTATTGCTTTAAGGGGGGTTTCACAAAGTTGGGGGGTGGGGGAATTTTTTTAAGGGATTCATACTTTTTTTCAAAATTTTTAAAATTTCGAATTTTTGAAAAGTTTCAAGAAGAAATCTGCAATTGCACAGTATTGCGCAATGGATTTATAAGATCTTCGACCACATTTATTTTGTGTCAGAAACCTATATTATGTCAAAAATTTGATATCACAATCCAAATTCAGACAGTATCAAGCTTGAATATTGTGTCCAAATTTGCCCCAACTGTTCAGGGTTCGACCTCTGCAGTCGTATCAGGCTGCGCTCAGCGAAGCATTTTATTTTGTATTTCTGGGTATTGTGTTAGTTTATGATATTACAAGTTATGTTGTGTTTCAGGATATTGTGTTAGTTAATGATATTACAAGTTATGTTGTGTTTCAGGATATTGTGTTAGTTAATGATATTACAAGTTATGTTGTGTTTCAGGGTATTGTGTTAGTTTATGATATTACAAGTTATGTTGTGTTTCAGGATATTGTGTTAGTTAATGATATTACAAGTTATGTTGTGTTTCAGGATATTGTGTTAGTTAATGATATTACAAGTTATGTTGTATTTCAGGGTATTGTGTTAGTTTATGATATTACAAGTTATGTTGTATTTCAGGGTATTGTGTTAGTTAATGATATTACAAGTTATGTTGTATTTCAGGGTATTGTGTTAGTTTATGATATTACAAGTTATGCAAGCTTTGAAAATTTAGATGATTGGTATTCGTCACTGAAGAAAGTATTTGGAAAAGAAACAAAATTGCCTCATGTAGCTTTAGTTGGAAATAAAAGTAAGTAGACTGCTCTTTTTATAGACTTTACACTATAAAGATTAAAAAAAAAAGCTTTTGAGTAAACATCGGTGAGAAAATAGCCCAACAACATATGATTAGAATGATAGGCAATAAAAGGTTATATTACAAACTTAAACAATTGACCCTTGCCCTAAATTAAATCACAAAGAAAGATGTGACATCAACTCTAAATTTTGAATAGATCAAAACAGATGTCAGACTATAACTGAGGAGATTCTTCACATTGAACGAGCACATACACATTTAGTGACAGAAAAAATGATATGTTTGTCTGCACAAACCTTTTGATGGTATATACATACCGACTCAGGAAATGGTGGATATGTTAAGTCTCTGCATAACTTACTTTTGTTTCAAGTACATAGCTGTAATGTTTTAAGTACATAGCTGTAATATAGATTTCTACGTTGTATTTTACTTTTTTGAAATATATGAATTTTATTGAGTCTTTAGTAAAAACTAATATAAACAAAACTATTCTATTCTTTTATACAGTTGATTTAGAACACATGAGAACTGTAAAAATAGATAAGCATCAAAAGTTTGCTCAAGAAAAAGGAATGTCAAGTCATTTTGTCTCTGCTAAAACTGGGGATTCTGTAAGTAATTATTTATCACAGGTTTTGTAATTAAAGCATGTAAAACCCTTTGTCCATAAAGCCAAAAAAAAGCAATGAAACCTTTCAAAAATAAGGCATGAGAAATTTTTTTTTTTTCAATTTTATATTAGAAAAAATCCATATCATTAACTGCTCATGAATTAAAAAAATTAAAGGCATGAAATCATACACATTTTGTTAAAACATGATGTAAAAAAACAATGCAACTCTAAATTTTGATAGCAATTTAATAGAGCAACATGGCAAAAACACTTTGCTTGTACCGGTAAATCAAATGTTTAAATTTATTCCTGACAGTTGAGATACTTGGAGATTTCACCATTCCATAGAATGTGACTATCTTGACTTTGCTAAATTGCAAGAATAAATAATGTTAGTAAAAGAATCTGGAGCGCAACAACTTGTACTAAAGATACACAAAGGCTGTCTTTTTCAAATATCACTGGTATTTTCTATTTTTTTCTATTAGTTTATATTTTAAAATGTAATGAGTAGTATTGTTGGTACAAGTCATGTTAAAGAATATTTTTTCGAAAATAATGTATATTTCCAGGTGTCACTGTGTTTTCAGCGAGTAGCAGCAGACATACTTGGTATAAAATTGACTAAGCCTGAAGTGGAGCAACATCAGAAAGTGATCAAGGCAGAAATTGTACAATATAAGAACGAAGCTTCGGCTAAACCTGTCACAAATAAACCTCAGAAAAGTTCTCTATGTTCGCTACAATAATGATACGATGATTCATCTCTGCTGGTTCGGAGATTTGGAACAGTGCATTTGGATTTTTTTATTTTTCTTCATGCTTTGGGGAAAGAATGGAAAACAAAGGAAATTTTAGACAAAATGTTTGTGGGTGTTATCAGTGGAAATTTTTTTTTTTTTATCAATTTTATCGATCTTTAATCTGGTAATGTTTGTATTTCACCACTTAAAATAGTCCTGATTTATTTGACCACAAAGTAAAAGTTATTTCCTTTACAATATAACTCTATTAGGCAAAGTAGATGTTTAAATATTTAGACTATTTTGTTTTTGCTTATTTATTTTAAGACCCCAGATCATTTTATTTAAATGTACTTGGTTAAGAGAAAGTTTTGATTTCTTGAATACTTGATGAAGGTTATTTTAGTTACCCCTGTATATGTCACATGCACTTAAATCATTATATTATGACTACAACTATGTAGGTTTCACTAAGGGTGAACTGTAGTTGTTACCCAATTGTCCCATCTACCCAGTATCCATTGTTTGGTATAAATTAAATGATACATTTTAATTGTATATACGATTAAATTTCAGTTTATTTTTTATGTAAGTTCACTTAACCCAAGTTTTCAATTATGGCTATTCAGATCGACACTCTCAATTGTTTAAATGTTTTGTTTATTTTACTATCAAAACTTTTGCCTCCAAGTGTACCTTATCAAAATTATTACAGAAATGTGTAATGTGCATACCTCCACATTCTACTAAAGATTTTCAGTAGGGACCAATTCTAGTAAAGTTAGCAAATTTCTTTGTATCTTGTATTGTATGTTACAAGTATACAATTTTTGTTTTATAGTGTCCAAATTGATAATTTATGGCAGTAAAAAAAATGGTGGGCTATTTAGAAAAAAATTATATATGTCGAAATATCAAGGATTGTTATAACAAATTCTTTCTAAATTATTGGATTGATTTCAATGAAACTAAAGGTTGTAGATTTTATAAAATGGGCATGAATCAAAATAATTCTAGTTAAACAAAGAGGATATAATGAATTGGTTATAGCAGTGTTATCATTTTGTAAACATGCTCACTGCGACACAGTAACTCTTTTTTTTCTCAGCAGTGTTCTGAGTTTTTTTTGAGACAGAGAACTTATACAAATATTCTTCTGGTACCTTGTCCTGTACAGTCCTCATAAAAACTTTTGTGATTTACTGTTAAAAGGAATTGTCAAAACTCACTTTACGCTGGACGTTTAAAAAAATCAAACACTGAAAGTATATATTATTGGTCTTATTCATATTCTGGTTATCTGTTTATAGTATTCCATTATTGCTGCATTTATTATTCTAACATCAGGTTTAAAGTTAAAAACATGTAATAAAAAAAAATCAATCACTTATTTTTTGTATGGACTTTATGTAAAATGGCAACATTAAATACAATTCTATGTAGGAATCCGATAGTCAGTGGCACATGTAGAAATTAAAATCATCCTCTAGGCTATCGTAGATATAGTTTGTTGGGAAGGTAGTCATTTCACATTCTTTGATAAATGGAACTTTATTTTATCTACATTATGATACTCACATTTTTAGTAATTTTTGTCTGACTCCAATTGGAATTGGACTATACATAGGTTTATCATAAAACTTCACATATTTGTTTATTTAGCAGACAAGGTGGTTATCTTGTGACTCATTTTTCCTAAAGGACAAGACTTTTACTAGCCAATAATTTCAATAGATGGCAAGCATTTACAAAAAAAAATTAACACATAATCTGAGGGCTGTACACATTTTCAAATAAGAGTTAACAATGATACAAATGGTGAAAAATTGGTATTTATATGTTATGATAAGTCTTAAGATTAAAATGGTAAACAAATTCTATCATGTTTGTAATATAGCATTATCCCTTCATTATTTCTTATTACCTCAATATGTCACAAAGTTCATTGGGAAAGATTTACATCCAAAATTTGTTAGTAGTTCTTAATGGTGAATTTAAGAAATTGTTGAAGACAGCTAATTACACACATTCTGTTTTAGTACAAATTATCTGTTCCACAAAAAATATGCGTGAGATATTAAAATGCAATAGTTTTGTTTGGAAATTTGCGTCCTTTTTCAAATTGACAATTAAAGATGAAAAATATTTATTAGACTGAGTAATAGTTTTTAGTTCTTTTTTTTTTTCTCTTTTTTAATGTGAGGATTTGAAAATCAAAATTAAAGTAATTGAGTAAGATGTATGTTTTGTTGTGAGAAGTAACCTGAATCAGTGTTCTGTTTTAATGAGGATGCTTAATTTGGACTAGATCTGTAAAATTATTATTATTTTCCTGCATGATAGTTATTACAATAGTCAAGTTATTATAAGACAATCCTATCTGCTCCGTGAAAATGTACCTGTTCAAGTACAGATTTCCTGAGATTAATGAATTCTAAAATTTTTTACTGAAGAACCCTATATGTTTTTGTTAGGACATATACATTATTTCAAATTAACTTTTTTATGCTTGAAGTAAATCTAGACCTGATCTGATTGTTGGTCTTGAGGAGTAAATTTCATTTTTCTACACAAAAGTGTTGCCAATCATTGGCCATTTGTTAAATTTAGTAAGATGTTCAATCTTTTAAGTGTATTTGCATCAAAATAAGTCAGAACTCTATACTTCTAATCTTATAAACTAGGTAGTGGCGGTTTAGAGGATTGTCTAAGAGGGTTTCTCTTAATCACTGTAAAAGGAAGGAATGTCTATAACAAAATGGCAAGGAGTTTATCTACCAGAAGATTTGCTATGATTTTCATTTTTGTTATAACACTTTTAATTTTATGAGATTGTAATAATTTCAAATATGTGTGAATAACTGAATTCATCCTGGTCTGTCATTTTGTGAAAGAAACTCATAATTTTTAAGGAATATTGTAATTTTCATTATTTTGTAGAGAATTTACAATAAATTGTATCAATGAAATAATCACATACCAACATACTCATAAAATCACTAAAAGGTGGATTAAAGTTTAAAAAAAGATTTTTGTAATTATTTTTTATACTAAAATTGGAATATTTGGCAATTGATATTGATTCATAAAAGAAATTTGACAGCAGCAACTTGTTACATAACATACATGTAGCATTGTTTTAATAAGGCTTTTTATCTATGAACATGTGTTTATAATATGATCATAAATAGTTCATTTTCAACATTTTTCTTTCTAGTTTCAGTACTCTCTCAGCTTTTCCTAACTGTAAACATTTGTTTATTTATTTTTGTTTTTGAAGGTTGTATCTGTCATACTTGTATCAACCCTTTCACTTATTTAATTCATTCCAGAAAAAGTTCTCATATACATAAAGTATAAATATGATCAAGTTAAATCTGTTAAGAATGTAATATAAGTGCTAACAAAATCCGAAATAACACATTTGTTGATTAATTGTATTGTTTTTACATTGTATATGGTAAGTGAAGGATTTCAGTTATAAGTGGATATTTTTTTAGATTTCCACTGCTTTTTAGTTTTTGTTTTCAATATACAGATTGCCACTCTTAGGTAGCATTACAGTAATTCCAGTAGAAAGTGTGTTATTGCAGAACTTTTTCTGGAATGGACCAGAAGTGTTGATCTGTGTATTGATAAGACTTTCAGTCATTGTTGTATTTTTATTTGTTGTGTATTTTAATTGTTTGTTTATTTATGATAAGTTCCCTCTCATTTTGTTGTCACATATCACCTGCAATATTTTTATTTTATTTTGTGTACAGAATCATTGATTTAGTAAATTTGATTTGATATATTGTTTTTTAAATGTTACAGTTCCAAAATAACACCAGTAGAGGTGTGAAATGACATCAGTTAATCTAAGCTGGCATACAGGTTGAATTTACTGGTAAAATTATTTTTGCATTTATATCAATAAGGTAGTTGTGTTGAATCTCTTACTTTTTTATTTAAATGAAGATTTTGATCTTTTAAAGACTGTGAAATATGTTGTTTTTTTATTTAAATTATTGTAAGAAAACATACATGGCATGATAATTTTAAAACATTTTATTGAAACAGAGTAGCAGGTTGACAAAGTAAGATCAGAAAAAATTAATGATACATGTATATAAATGATTAAAAAAAATAATTGATATATTGGACCCTTTGCAAGAAAATAAGTATTTGGTTAAGGGTTTCTATTCTTAAATGGAGAAATAGAATATTGAATGATGATAGGCAATTATCTAAAAAAAAAATTATGTGCATTGGATATTTCAAGATATAATAGTATAAGTATATTTACTATTTACCACTTAAATTTCTACAAATCTGTACAGTAAATGTATTTACTGTAGTAGTGTGTAATACATTTGATAGTGTGATAATAAATTAACACATAACAAATCAGTGCACCATACAATGTAATTTTGTTAAAATTGTGCAGGTAAAATGAAATAAAAATTGACATTGGTAAGGATTAACTTGATTGATTATTACATGTTTATTTCATATAGAAAATCATATATGGCCACATTGAATTGAGTTCTATATTCTTCCCTCTCCCCATCTGGGTTTTGTTTTCTTTAATATTATATTTTAATTTAATTTTGATTGTATTATTCCTTGAAATTACTGGCAGCTTTAGTGAAGAAAAAATAAATCTACCATCCTTAACCAAATTGTCTTAGAAAAGAGGATGGGAATCTAAAAATTATTTTGATGCGACTGTAGTACAGAAAATTTCATATAGTCCATGGTGATGTACTTAGAAAGTAGTGATTGGAATACAGTTGTCCCTTCTATTTTTTTTTTAAGTCCCCACAGTCAAAAGTCAAGGCATATAACATAAGTATAGTACATGTATCATTTATGTAAAATGGGACTTAGTTTGAGGGCACATCTGCTTATAGTCTAGAACTTTGCCGCCTATTGCCAGCCAGATGAGACAGGACAAACTGTATTCCTATCACCTTTTATTCTTTATAAATGATTTGGCTGATCAGGATCAATTTTGAAACACAATTTATTTTTCCATCCATATCTTTGTGCATGTATTATGTAAAATGTTTGGATGGATTTTGCTATTGAATGAATTTAAATTGGCATGATGCCAGATTTTTTGTTGTTATTGAGATCAGTATTATCTGATGTTTCACTGAATTTACTGATTAAATCTATACACAAAATCAGATGTTATTTTTGTTATTTATATGAAAAAATGGATTTCTTCATTTAAATTTTGAATTATAACCACTGAGCTTGGAAGTTTTTCTTAACACATATCTCAGCTTAAGTATTAAGCAAAGATTTAAATTAAATTTGTATCATATTTGGCCTTTTTAACTTTTTTGATTCAAGCATCACTGATAAGTCTTTTGTAGACGAAAAGTGCATCTGGAGTACAAACTTGTAATCCTGGTATCTATGATGAGTTTATTTGATATTTGGTGAAGAATTATAGGATTGCATATTAGTAAGATATACAGTGCAACATATTTTTAGATCCTTCAATGATCTACCATCTATTGTACGTTTCTTTTTCATCAAATGCATATCATAGCTTCTTGATATTTGGTACCAAGTTCAAATTGGCAAGCTTAAATGTATGCTTTTTTACTTTCTGCTGTCTGCATTAACATTTAAAGGTATATGTATTTCATTCACTCATAAGCAAGAGCTGGATCATAAAGCAGTAAGCATTAGCTCACATTTCATCTTCATCAGGGTGGTCCTTCTTTATTCTTTATAATTTAGCACCTCATTATTTTCTATTTTTTATTTTTTTGCCTGTTTTTCTTAATTCGCTAATTTTTTAGCTCACCTGGCCCATCATTTGGCATCCATCATCCGTCATCTGTTGTCTGTTGTCGTTCATTAACTTTTACAAAAATCTTCTCTGAAACTGCTGGATCAAATTTAACCAAACATATATTTTTGGTTGAATATAACCAGAAAATGTTATGTAATTATGTGTATCCGTGTTTGAATTACAAAATTAAAAAGTTATTCATCAAACAAATTCATAAAATAAACAAGGAAAATTCAAACATTTCTTCTTCAACTGTGAACTGGCTTGTTGAATTGTGAGCTACAAGTATTCTCGATTTGTCACGTAAGCTTTTGACAATTAATGCAAGCTAATTTAGAAATTTAAATATACTACATCTTTGATAATAAGCAGCGTGTGATACTTTTGTATTAGCTTAATGACATAAGCTATTATGAATTCTAAAAAGCTCTCAGAATATAAAATGTTTATTTTTATTCAAGATTGCAACATTGTAATCAATAATACATTATATTGATATAAAATTTTCATCACTGTGCTAGATTATATCGACTTCTAAAATCTTGGGAAACTATTTTTAAAGCCCCTGCTGTAGCGGAGGGGGCATTAAGTTTTACCCTTGTCCGTCTGAACGTCCGTCTGTATGTCCCAGAATTGGTTTCTGTTCTCTTACTTTATGTAACCTCAACCAAATGTTATGAAACTTATACACAATGCTTATTACCACAAAACACAGATCAAGTTTGAATTTTGGTGGTGTCACTTTTACCATTCTAGAGTTATGCCCCTTTACAAATGGAAAAAATTGCTGATTTTTTTAGTTTCCATTATCTAACTTTAGTTTGCCTCAACCAAATATTATAAAACTTATACTCAATGCTTATTACCACAAAACACAGATCAATTTTGAATTTGGGTAGCGTCACTTTTACTGTTCTTGAGTTATGCCCCTTTACAAATGGAAAAATTGCTGAATTTTTCTTTTCTGTTCTCTAACTTTAGTTTGCCTCAAACAAATGTTATGAAACTTATGTGCAATGCTTATTACCACAAAACACAGATCAAGTTTGAATTTTGGTGGCGTCACTTTTACCTTTCTAGTGTTATGTCCCTTTACAAATGAAAATTGCTGATTTTTAGTTCCCTACCGACAAAGTCGAAGGGGACTTTAGGTTTGCACCTAGTCCGTCTGTCTGTCTGTCTGTCTTTCTGTTTGTCCATCTGTCAGTCCGGCAAATCAGTTTTCCACACTTTTTTTCTTTATGCTTGAAGATATTGATTTGATGAATGTTATATAGTTTTATCATGACAAGTTACAGATCAAGTTCGAATTTTGTTCCGGTCTGATGATTTTGTGCAGAGTTATGGTCCTTGGACTTAGACAATTCACTCAAATAATCAGTTTTCCACACTTTTTTTCGTTATGCTTGAAGATATTGATTTGATAATTGGTATATAGTTTTATCATGACAAGTTACAGATCAAGTTCGAATTTTGTTCCGGTCTGATGATTTTATGCAGAGTTATGGTCCTTGGACTTTGAAAATTCACTCAAATAATCAGTTTTCCACAATTTTTTTCGTCATGCTTGAAAATATTGATATGATAATTGTTATAAAGTTTTATCATGACAAGTTACAGATCATGTTCGATTTTTGTTTCGGTCTAATGATTTTATGCAGAGTTATGGTCCTTGGATTTAGAAAATTCACTTAAATAATCAGTTTTCCCCATTTTTTTCATCATGCTTGAAGATATTGACTTGATATTTGTTATATAGTTTACACCATGACAAGTTATAGATCAAGTTAGCATTTTGTTCCAATACAATGAATTTTTAACCGGTTGGGGACTATGTATTGCCATGCAATACTCTCAGAATGCTTGTTTTTTTCCGCTCTCTTAACTTTATTTTGCCTCAACCAAATGTTATGAAACTTATACACAATGCTTATAACCACAAAACACAGATTAAGTTTGAATTTGGGTAGCGTCACTTTTACTGTTCTAGAGTTATGCCCCTTTACAAATGGAAAAATTGCTGAATTTTTCGTTTCTGTTCTCTAACTTTAGTTTGCCTCAAACAAATGTTATGAAACTTATTAGCAATGCTTATTACCACAAAACACATATCAAGTTTGAATTTTGGAGGCATCACTTTTACTGTTCTTGAGTTATGCTCCTTTCAAATGGAAAATTTGCAGAATTTTTCGTTTATGTTCTCTAACTTAAGTTTGCCTCAACCAAATATTATGAAACTTATACACAATGCTTATTACTACAAAACTCAGATCAAGTACAAATTTGGGTAGTGTCACTTTTACCGTTCTTGAGTTATGTCCCTTTATAATGGTATATGCAAGCGGGGGCATCATCTGTGTCCCATGGACACATTCCCCATTTATTTTTAAATAAGGAAAAACAATTATTGAAAAAAAATGTTTTGTTAATATTTTACAATAAATCTTTAAAAAATACACCTTTAACAATATTTTAGTAAAAAAAATTGAAACAGGTGAATTACAGGTAAATTTCAAGATGCCAGTCCGTAAGAGGACCCCTAATCCTTAATGTTGTTTAAGTCTTATTATCAAATTTTGGAGAAACGTGAAGACACCATCATCAAAAATGTGTCTAATGACCCCGCCTGCCAAACAAGATGACCGACATGGCTAAAAATAGAACATAGGGGTAAAATGCAAGTTTTGTGTAATATTTTGAAAACCGTAATAAATATAGTAAATCTTTTAGGGGCATAAATGTTCAGTATGTTGAGCTCTACCAATTGTTTAATTACATCAAAAATTTTAGGGGACTGCTTATATAATAGGAGTTATTGCCCTTAAATCACAAATTTTACCATTTTTTTCCATTTTTGCCTATTATCTTGAAAACTAAAATAGATACAGAGAAACTTAAATTGCAAAATTGATCAGCAAGACAAGATCTACAAATACGTCTACATGATCGATATCGTCAGTCGACTCCTTTTTAGAGTTATTGCCCTTTGATTACGTTTTTTACCAATTTTTGCATTTTTTGCCTTGTATCTTAAAAATTATAATATATACTAGTAGATAGAAAACTAAATAAGCAAAAATGTTCAACAAGACAAGATTTTTGTCATGAATTCTATATTCTCGTCTACAATGAGAGTGTCCTTTGTTGAAAATGTACATAAACCTAGGTGAGTGATCTTTAGTTTTGTCTATTTTTCGTTATTTTGTTTTTTTTTTGCTCTTTATTCTGTTCATTTTGCCTATTATTCACTATTCTGTAAAACTCATCCAGACCCTCATCTATGCTTTTTCTGTCTATAATACCAGTTTTACCGATTTAAGTGATCTTTCTAAACTGATTTCTTTATACCTTCTTCAGTGTACCTTTTGTTCTTCCATTTATCAAGATTAGACAGGTGAGAGTAGAACTATATTTGTAGTTCAACCACACCGCATGTTCATTTGCCAGTGCAAAGTCAGAAAGTTCATCATTGGCTGATTATTGTTATATATATTCCAATGTTGCAGATTTTTTTTCTCATTTATTTAGGGAATTTGGTGTTGGTTAAAGATCTTGTATAGGCCATGTTAAATTATTCTCAACTTTTCTGGACTCTGAAGTGATTCAAGGTTTGACTTTTGCTTATGACACTTGTTAATTGTTAAAGAACTTTTGTTGACCTCTAGATGCATTTTGGTGTTTGTTTGTGTTTGGTTACTGTCTCCTTGACTTTCATCCTTTATCTCCCTCTGTTTATTGTTATTCAAATATTTTCTTTTAATAATTAAAATATTGTAATAGCCAATTTTCTTTCTTTTTATCTCATTTAGCCATCACTTGTTTGTCCACTAGTGTAGTCAACTCATCTGTTGCCATAAACTTTTTTTAAATTTCTCTAAAACTACTGGGCCAAATGTTACTAAACTTTATCTGAATGTTCCTTTGGTAATCTAGTTTAAAATTTGTATCAGGGATTTGATCGATCAACTGATAGCAGGTCAAGGGTTATTACCTGTGGGATTTTCATAAAAATTGACAGTCCATTTTAAAGTTATTGCCCCTGAAATTTCATTTTTAGCAAATTTCATAGTTTTTGCCTTATATCTGAAATAATAAAGCAGTTAGAGCAGAACTGACATAAGAAAAAAATATCAGCAGGCTATCTCCTATGGAATTTTCAGGGAAATAGGATAACCCGTTTCGCTGTTATTGCCCCTGAAACATCCATTTTTAGTTTTAGGTTTTTGTCTTGAAAACTATCATAGAAGAGTATAATGTAACAGAACAATAAGATCTACAAATAAGATAACATGGTTGAAATGGTCAGTTGACTTCTTATAGGAGTTATTGCCCTTGCATGATGATTTTTCTCCTTTTGGCATTTTGCAGCAACTATAGTAG